AGAAATCAAAATTGTTGAATAATTGAAAGTAAGTTTAAAACAAACTTTCTGTTAAAAAACCCAGAAAACAAAAACATTATTTTTGAAAATGCCAGATTTAGTCCAAACCTACTTCATTATCACATTTGAGTTTTTTGTTAATTTCAGTAAATATTGTTCTATTTATTTAAAACTTGTTACAAAATAATGTAATATGAAAAATCATCTTGAATAATTTTTTCCAAAGGGATTGCCCTGGTGCCCGCACAAGATTGGCACCGTGGCTAAACAGGGAGTTGAATGCAATACTCTACGAAAACACCCAGCTTGTCGTGTGGCTAGTGGATATCATCATGGATCACCTACTTCTCCACCACATATGCAGTCGTACTTTCCGCAATCTACTCTATGAATATCTGTACAACAAAACGGACCACTTCATTCATGAATTTTATAATTTCATGAGATCTCCATTTGACATGATAGGCTATGATCGAAATGTGATATATACTGAAAGGCCTCAATCCCCTCCTCCGTATGTGGTGATGTTGCAAGGTAAGGATATATAGTATATTTAATGATGAGAAATGAAACTTTCTATGTTTTTTTTTATTTTTGTCATTTCATTTTTATTATTTAATGAATTTATAAATACAATACAAACAATAATATTCAATACAAAAACAAAACAACATAGTAAAACTGCGACTAATAAAAAAATTTCTACTTTGCAGACGAAGCTTCTGATGATGGTAATGACAGTGATGTGATTATAGTGGGCAGCATAAATCCTGAAGAACCAGTTGTTATTGACCTTGTTAACACTGATTCTGATGAGCCCATTTTAGTTTCTCCAGAAGATCCCCCGGAACCCATTCCCATCTCAGAGCACAGCTCAGAAGGAGAGGGAGGAACACGTACGCCAGTACTGCCATTGAAACTGAGACTCAAGCGCAAAAGACAGTCGAGAGAGAAAAAAAAGGAAAAACAGCTGAAAAAGAGGAGCCGTCATCATAGATCAAGGTCATCCAGCTCCAGCATTTCAAGTAGTTCTAGCAGCAGTTCTGACAATTCTCATGCAAGGTAATAATATAATTATAGAATCAATTCACGATAGTAAGTTTATTCGACACTATTTTTTGTTATTCAAGCTTTCGGAAAATTGTGAAAATTCTTATACTGATCAGACATCTAGAACATTGAATAGTCACATTATCACTCATTTTGTTATATCTATCACATCTCAAAATCACTCTCAGTGACCTGTTCTGGAAGGTTTTTTTATCATTTCGATAAAAAACTTACAAAAGGGTACATTTGATATGCTAATTCTCTATAAAATTCTAACATAACTAATATCTTTACTCAACCAATTTTTCTTGAAATTTTTTCACGAACATAATCTAACATGATGTCCAAAAAATTTCAAATCTGAATCTACGATCACCCCTAGGTATTAAGATGTTTTAGTTCTTTCCAGAATGTAATCACCAATTTTGAAACAAGTCAGGATTAATTTCTCTTTTTTTATATCATATTGTTTGTTCATTTTCAAGTTATGTTGTTCATTCCAAATATTCAGATATTTCACAATTTCTTGAATTGGTTAAATGTCTCTCAAATGAACTTTTTGTATCTTTTCTTCCTATGCTGTAATTGGTTACTTCCAATTCAAAGTTTTCTATACCATTCTAGATCAGATCCTTTAATGAATTTAATAAAAATGATTTGAAAGGTATCGCCAAAAAATTCTTGCAAACTATAATAGGGTCTCTCAATAGGAAAATCTTTAGTTGATTTTCGAAACTCAGTACAGTTTACTATGCATTTCAGGTATTTAGGAAGATGATCCTTAAGACCAATATACCTTAGAGAATGTTTACCTGAAGTAGAGGTAGATATGGGGAGACTCCTTGAGTGAGTGGCTCCTCTTTTTCATGTTCGTTCAAAAAGTGGAGGAGGGAAAGAGATTACATAAGCTCCCTCAAACCCACTTCAGCAAAGCTATTTGATATTTCATAAAGGTCACTCAAAGTCAAACTAAAAACGCACTCCAAAACCCTCTTTGTCCATACAATTGAAGGTCGTTCAGGGTTGAATCCTCAAATCTTCGAAATAGCCGTGTGAACCAGTGAAGGTCATTCAAGGTCAAATCCAAAACACCACCTCAAAGTCACCTTGTCTGTATCGTGTGACGTAGGTCAAGGTCGTTTAAGGTCAAACTCAAAAAACAGATTTCTTAAAAGATATTATTTGTATGTAAAACAAATAAGTAAAAATGAAGAAAAGAGAAGAAACTTTCTATGTTTTTTACCACTTTTTTTTGTAAGTAATGTTACTGCAGTTTCGTCCTATACGGACATTTTCAAAGTGGTAAAAAACATAGAAAGTTTCATTTCTCTTTTCTTCATTATGATTTCCTACCACGTAGTAACGGCTACATCCATCAATAAGTAAAAATATTTATTCAATACAAATTCTATTCCATTATAAATAAAAAGAATTCATATTAATTTTTGAAAATTTCAATTTCAATAAAAAAACAAAGGTGGGATGTTTATTTTATGACTAATGATATACATATTGTATTATGTTTATATAGTGGAAGAATAGCCGAATCATTTATGAAGAAATTAAAATTGAAACTTTCTATGTTTTTTACCACTTTTATTTGTAACCTAACGTTACTGCAGTTTTATCCTATAAGAACATTTTCAAACTTATACATTAAATGTACATTAAGTGTATAAGTTTGAACATGTCCTTATAACACGAAACTTCAGTAACATTAGTTACTGCAGTTTCTTGCTACAGTTTACTGCTACATCCATCAATTTACTGAATCATTAAAGTATTTCATCTTTCAGGTACAAGAGACGAAAGAAGGTGAAGAAATTTTCAAGGAAAAGAACACCACACTCTTCTTCTTGTAGTGAGACTTTGACAAATGTTGATATTGAAAAATCCAGTTCTGATTCTGAAGATAATCTACCTCTGTCAACTTTAGCCCAAAAAAAGAAACACTTGAAAAATATGGCAAAACTCTACAAGTCTTCAAGAGAAAAATATCAGGAAGTCCCCATGAATCTAACCAAAGTTAGAGTTGAACCAGAAATTGAATCTGTGGGAAACAGCTCCAATATGCCGGGTTGCTCCAAGTATTCTTCTAATTATTCCACTTTTCAAAATGGAATGTTTGATATAAAGAAAGAAGTCAAAGAGCAACCTTCCACTTCAAATGCCAGTAATAGGTATGATAGACCTCCGGATACGGTTAATGTAAGAAAGGAAATAAAGGATTCAACTTTGGGTTCCTCGAATGCACCGACATGTTCTAAATACATTCGGTCAATTACCAACTCTTGTAATTTTCACAATGAAGATCATGGTCTGACAAGGCATGGTGAGGAATCAGGTGAAGACAATTATCCTCAAAATCTGGTTAAAAAACGACCAGAAAACAAATCCTTCGGAGTTAATAGTGGAAAGGCTTATAAAAATAACACTAACAAACGTCTCAGGAATTTAGTTATAAAAAAAGAGGATTCCAGTAACATGTGGTATTCCTACCCATATAACAACAGTTCCAGTTCTTCAGAAGATTGAGATTTACAGGAGTGGTATATACAATATTTTATGATTTTAAGTTGTACAGTTATTTATCGAAACAATTTTATATATTGTTGAACAATATTTTATAGTTCAATTGTGAATAAATTCAATTATGACTGGTATTCTATTCAGAGGACTTCCGGTTTTTTTTTTCTCTTTGTACATGGAAAATATTTCCTGTTAATAAAGAAGGCTACACATGCAATTGTTTCAATCATCCAATTTTTCAACTTGCAAACAGTGACTAAGAATTAGTATATAAACAACTCAAATAAGATCCCAACTCAGAAGATATATACTTACTGACTTTTTCGAAGGTGTCACTATTAGGATCTCAAGAACACTAGAAAGGTTGGTTTGATTACAAAAAGTTGCATATTTTTTTATGTGTTTCATATATACTTTTACTTGGCTTCATAACATTTTTGTATTTTCACTGTGAAATTTTGTAGTCACTCCTTGCCTATATTCGGCATTGTATCGAAAATGTTGTATTTAAACTATTTTGGTCTATGATGAATATTACTGGAGTTTAATCCCAACTCCAAACCGTTATTTTCAACACCTCGAAACATGTTTCAAACACCAAGTGATAATCTTCAGAAGGAAGATTAGTTTTGAGCCCACAACAGTTTGGATTTAGGAAAGTTGTATCGACATCACACACTTCTCAATGTTTTACCAAATTTATTTAAAAAGTTTCGAAAATAATGAACAATATATGGGAATATTTACAGATGTAACGGCTGTATTTGACTGTTGATCATAAAACAGTCTTACATAAAATGAGTTATTACAGTGTATAGTCTATATGTAGTCAAACTGAACGGCTAAATAAAACACTAAGTACCGGGTCTGATAAATTTACTAATTAATACCATCTAAAATCTCCCACATTAAAATAATGATTGGACCTCATATGAATTTCTTACCTCTTACTCAGAGTAAACCAGCCGTATCGATGTTTTTATGCCATTCAAAGTCACTTCTTATATACTATACATGGACAATCATTTGAGCTATTCAACTCATCTTGTTGCAATTCCCAATTCTGATATTAGATATTGAATAAACCAATTTAAAAAAAACAAAGGTATTTTAATGATACACGATTTTTTATTGTTTCTATAATAAATTTTCGTCAGGAATGATACCAAGAAATTTATTTGGCTCTAGGAGGGTACTCAATATTTTCATTATGGAATTTGATTCAACTATTTCTGAAAACATTTCGTAACATTGAAGCCATAATGATATTTGAAGAATTCACTTTGTTTTCTTGTACACTGTTTCTATTGTAAATTGAAATGTTAATACATTTAGTATAGCCAAAGAATTGACATCAGAAATTAAACAGGTCTCAGAATGTATCCTTACAGTAACAACATATGTTTTCAACTAATTATGTAGTCCATAAATATTGTTTCTTGTTGAATAAATAATTTTAAAACCAATTATAAAAAGAACCTCGGATACCTATATTATGCAACAAAAAGAAAATTATGGTTTACAGTACCAAATTCTTTTTAGGTCTAATGAAAGAACTCTCCATTTTTTGTTTCAATCTAAATCTAGCTGGAATAGGGTTAATAATTTAGACTTTTCAAAATATTCAATTGATCTAGAATGTACTGATTTCTCAATGATTTGAGATGAAGTTGAAATTGGTCTGTAATTTATCATCTGGTATCTTCTACCTGCTTTAAATAATGTTGAAAAAGAAAGATATATCAGTTTACTTTCAAGTGACGCTAGCTACAGGGATTCATGTCGCCCATTATCTGTAAAGCAAAAAATTCTGACCTCAGTATGTCTTTTTATTTTGGAAACAGTGTTTCTTATCCACAAAAAATATAAAAATCAATTTAGTAACACCTCAACTTATAGTACACGTCAGTCTTACTCCATTTCCCTTCCCACACCTTCTCTAGCCCTTACACAAAATTCTATCATTTTCAATAGCAAGAAGTTATTTAACCACCTTCCCATTATATTAAGGCGAATTTTTAATGAAAAGAAATTCAGAAAGAAAGTGAAAGAATTCCTTGTTGGGAGGCCCTATTATAGTGTGGACGAATTCTACCAAGGCTCTATCGAATAATTGGCATGTAGCTTTGTGTAAAAAAGTTATTGAAACCAACACGAAATGGCTATCAATGTTCATTATGTAGCATTATATATTTACATTTACCTAATATTCATAAATTCATGTACTTATATTTGTATCTGTACAGCTGGACTTAATATTGTTCTGTCCATATACTCTGCTTTTGTCTCTAAGCATTATTTTATAAATATTACTGGAGTTTTTTCCCCAACACCAAATCGTTATTTTTAACACCTCGACACGTGTTCTGATCACCAAGTGATCATCTTCAAAGAGGAAGATTAAAACACCAAAGGTTCCAAACAGAGTATCATAAATTATTTTATAGTTTACATTTGTTAATTGTCCCATATACATATTTTACTTTACTAGACTTTGCCAATAAGATGTTCATATCTTGGGTAATAAAGCATATTTTGTTTTGATTTGAAGTGACGCTAATTCTGATTTGACTTTTTCAACCTTTTCAATGCCAATTTCGTCAATCCTGGAGGTTCTCTCGAATCTAACATACTAATTATTTCTTAAGGTTCATTAAGATTGAGTTACAATTTACATAGACGATAATTTTCATTGAATACCAAATGATAAATTTCTACCAACAGTAACAAAATAATTGTTGAATATTTCAAAGATATCTTCATTTCCACTTACAGATATGTATTTAATTTTATCATTTCCATGATTCGCATTATTAAATAGAATTTCTTTTGATTTCCAAACGAACTTTGAAGCAGGGTTCATTAAATTTTTCTTCATATTAGTTCTCGGGAATTCAAAACAATTCTTTGACTAATTTGTTATACTGATTATACAGAGTGACCGCTTTTTTAATGGGATTGTATTGGAGATATCATAAGAAGAATAATTTTTGTCCTTTTAATTTTTTCCCACATCATTTCAAAAATTATTAAAAAAGGTTACATGCATTTTTATGTGATAGTCAATTCTCCTCAATTTGACGTAATCAGATTTCGAATCCAACGTTTCATACTCTCTGGGCCACCCTCTACCTCATTTTTTTCAATACGAACCTGCATATTTTATGACGCTTTTCGAAATAACTTTTCACGCTGAATTCAACGATATATCATACAATGTCATTCAACTCGATTTTCAGATGATTTGACCCTTATCCAAATTTCTTTGGTTCGGATCTGTATTAAATTTATCTTTGGTGAAATTAACAACATGCAATACATTTCGATAAGAAAATTAAATCACTCATCTTAAACTTAATGGAACGTATCATAATCATGGTAAGAAAGAAGTAATATTTGATTTCCAAACGAACTTTGAAGCAGGGTTCATTAAATTTTTCTTCATATTAGTTCTCGGGAATTCAAAACAATTCTTTGACTAATTTGTTATACTGATTATACAGAGTGACCGCTTTTTTAATGGGATTGTATTGGAGATATCATAAGAAGAATAATTTCTGTCCTTTTAATTTTTTTCCCACATCATTTCAAAAATTATTAAAAAAGGTTACATGCATTTTTATGTGATAGTCAATTCTCCTCAATTTGACGTCATTTTTTTCAATACGAACCTGCATATTTTATGACGCTTTTCGAAATAACTTTTCACGCTGAATTCAACGATATGTCATACAATGTCATTCAACTTGATTTTCAGATGATTTGACCCTTATCCAAATTTCTTTGGTTCGGATCTGTATTAAATTTACCTTTGGTAAAATTAACAACATGCAATACATTTCGATAAGAAAATAAAATCACTCATCTTAAACTGAATGGAACGTATCATAATCAAAGTAAGAAAGAAGTAATGATTATTTACATATTTCAAGAGGAGAAAAACCTAATTCACAATAATTAAACAAAAATATCATTTATTTGAAAGAAAATTAAATGATTGTTCAAAAGGAAATCAAAATTAATGAAGTAAGTGTTCGAAATGTCCACCATTTTGTAAAATGCACTTTGTGGTTCTGGAACCCTTAACTTATTTTACATTTGCTTATTTCGTCTCTTTGAATACCTACCAATGCATTCTCAATCTTCTCGCAAGGAATCACTATTGTTGGATTTGTCATTTGTTCTGTTGAAACAAATTACAGAATTTAACTTTTTTTTCAAGATCATTACGATATAATTTTTTGGTCCATACAGTATGAAACTTGAATTAACTTTCGATTAAAAAATGTTCGTAACATTTTTTGAAAATATTTGAAATAACGAAGGAAAAAAGAAAAATCAAAATGACATAATTTATTCTTCTTATGATATCTCAATAACCGGGTCTGATATTCTTGATTTGTTTCAACCTCTTGATAGTGCTTCTATGAATGCAACTTTATCTCCGTTTGACTGACCTTACTCTTGTGGTTCAAAAGTTTCTAATACAATCCCAGTAAAAAAGTGGCCACCTCCTATAGGTCGACTGGTAGGTATTTGTTCACTGACAATTTTGAAATGGTTCGAATAAAATACATCATTGAAATGTCCCATAAATAAAAATCCAAACTGTTGAGGTCTGGTGACCTAGGTGGCCATGACTGTGGAGCTTCCTGACCTATCCACTTATTAGGATAAATCTGATGTAAATATTCTTGGACTTTGAGACTGCAGTGGGTTGGTGCAGAATCATACATTTCATTTTCTAAAATTAGTGCAAATAAAAATTGTGATTCTTCTTGAAGGAAAAGGAGATACTAGTGACGGTCTAGACAAACAGGTAAAAAGAAGTGTTTTGTTTTTTAATACTGAATTTTACTTGTATGAATATAACTTCATTTCCTAACGGTTGCTGCTAGTTTCTGCCAGTTGATCTTCGCCGTAAAGTTATGAACATGATAAGGATAAAGTAGATTATTGAACAATACCCTCTAAACAACTTGATGACTACCCTTTAGATTTAGAACAAAATTTCTGGTACCACAAGCTGAATGCTCTTCTTTTTCATTTAAAACTGGTTTTTCGACTCAGAATATTCTAATAGTACCAGATATTTCAGCTACATCTGTATCGTTTGATACAAAAGGTGGTGAAAGATATTTGTGAGTATTTGGCTGTCGGGTACCAAACATTTAGGATATCTCACCGCATAAATTCCAATTGGCACAACCATACATACCACGCTCAGAATTCGTGCATATCGGCATATTCCATAAATATAATTCTGTACTATTCAAAACTACTATTATTATTATTCTTAACTTACTTATTCAAGAGAAAGTTAGTGAAGAATTTAACACAAAAATATGGAAACAGTAACTGGATCCACCTTGAACAATGCTTTTTTGGGGAGTCTTGCAGGTATGGTTGATCATCACACATTTATTTTGATTTTACACTCGTTTGAAGTTTGTGAATATTTCTTAGCCATTTTTTACAATGAAACAATTTATAAATTTAAAATTCCAAGTATTTCTATATTCAAATAACACCTTTGATTTTTCCATCAATATATTGGAACTATTTAAAGTGATGCAAAGCATCATGATGTTACCAAGAAAAAAGTAAAAAGAGATTACTCTTTTATTTCATACTGTTTATCATTTTTATATTTCGATGAAATTCAATTTTGTGACTTCAAGATATTATTTTCAACTATATTTTTTGAATAAATTAAAGTACAAAAATAAATTTTTATATATAGGGACTAAAATGTTGGTGTTTTTGAGTATCACATGGTTTTTGTTAAAATTTTATATGATATTTATCAATATTGTTGTGTGTGATGTAGCACTCATATTTATGAACACATTGAACCGTTCAGCAGATACTTTTCAGTCTTCCATTTTTTAGCTATCAGTACAGTTAAGGTTTGGTCAAAACTTTTCAAAGGTTAATGTTTCACCATCACCTTAGTTAACATCAAGATGTGTCATTACTTCTGTTTTGTGTGAGGTAACTCAGTTACAAAGTAACAATCAGTAAAAAAATAGTCAATATACATTCCACTCTCTAATTCTAGTTTATTACTCTAATAGAATATACTTGGGACTAACAAAAACACATAGGAATGTAACGAAAAAAAAAAACATGGAAGTATGTACAGAATTCGCCATAAGTTTTCTGAATATAAATTCAACAAAATTTTATATAATCTTAATAATATTAGACATTTAAAGATGAACGATTGTTAGCCCAGAATTGATGTGCTGAAATGGCCATTGTTATCAAGTACAGTAAAGCTGCTATCCAACAATTATAAGCATTCTGAAAAAAAAAGAATTGATTTATCATCCTACCTACTGAATTATTAAGAAAAAACAATTTAGTTTATTGATTTATTACACTTTGAGGATTCTGTCTTCACGACTTTTTCTCCTTTAGTTCATTATTTTGGACCAATGAAAACCTTTCTTTGCACACAACCATCAGAGCAACATTTCTTCATAAATGAGATATATAATTCTAAGTTAAAAAGTACCAGAATTGATAGATTGGTCAATTCTATAATTAAATACCAAAGAGTGGAACAAAGTCAATATTATTACTCAGTCTATTCAAAGCCTTTATCCTACGAATTTTGTACAATTAAAAGTACTCCTTAGGCGGCTTCTTAGTATATTGTTTCTCAGCCTATTCAAAGTCTCCTTACTAAAAATAAACTTTATTGAACATTTTCGAGGGTAAAAGAATATTTGAAAATTTGGTTCAGGTGAAAAGCACCCCTTAGGAAATATGAATAATTCCTTACCATATACTGTTTCTTTGTTCCATTCAAAGGCTTTGAACCAAATATAAATTTGGCTAGACTTTTATAATTAAATTAGAACTTTCCAAAGCTTTTGTATCAAAAACCAACTTGGCTAAACATTTAATATTTTCCAGGACATAATAAGAATTTTTGAAAAATTTGTTCATGTAACTATCTCCTAAATGACTTTCAAATGAACCATCTCTATTTATACGAGGGCTGCCTTGCAAATATTAATCATCGAAAATAACATTATCGTTTTTCAAAATATTCCCCATGAAGATCTATACACTTTTGCATGCGTTTGAACCAATTGTCGAAGCACTTTTGCCACTCTGATTGAGGTATCTCCAAAACATGTATTCTGAATGTAGCAACCGCTTCTTCAGGTGTCAAAAAACGTTGACCTCTCTGTTCTTTACATGCGGGAATAAAAAGAAGTCATTCGGTGCCAAGTCAGGACTATACTGCGGATGACTCATCAAATCGATGTTCTGGGTGCTCAAAAATGCAGTTGTTTGAGCCGATGTGTGAGAGCTCGCATTGTCGTGGTGAAGAGTGATCCGTCTTCGGCGGTTAGTTTTCCTGATTCGTTGGAAGACAACTGGCAATCAAATGGTTGTGTACCACTCAGAATTGACTGTTCTACGTTGTTATAGTGGTACGGTTGCGACATGTCCAGTTTTTCCGAAAAAACAGGCGACCATTTGCTTGGAAGTGCTTCGTGCGCCAACAACTTTTGTTGGATTTGGATCATCTTGAAACACCCATACAGTCGACTGCTGTTTACTTTCGGGCTCATATGCGTAAATTCACGATTCATCACCTGTCACGATGTCATAGACGTGTTTCGAAGCACTGAATTTCCATTGACCAATCGACACAAGCCTTTTTTTGATCGATTGACAAATTGTGTGGGATCCAACGCGAACAAATTTATTTGACAGTCAAATGTTTATACAATATTGAATGTATGCTGGTCTCACTAATGCCTAAGGTTGTCTCAATCTCATGATAGGTCACATGACGATCTTGCAATATCGGTTCGCGCACAGCATCAATGGTTTTTGGAACAACAATTGATTTTGGACGACCTTCACAAAATACGTCTTGGAGTGAACTACGACCACTATTGAATTCACCATACCATCGATAAACACTGGTTTATCAGCAACAGTTCATACATGCACTGTTGCTGAATTAATCTACGTCGAAAGTTGTAAAAAAATAATCGCACGAAAATGTTCACGATTTAATTCCATTTTTGGGTCAAGATGAATCTTTGAAGTTACTGTAAACAAAACAAATAGCGCGCGTATGTCAAAACATTCTGAGTACGTATGAGCTCAAAAATGTCCAACTTTCGGCTAATGTCTATTTGATATTCATAAATAAATAACTGTTCCTATTATTAATTTTTATCGGTTTAATTCAAGTATAAACTTTTCCCTATATGGCTTCCGAAAGAATCATTTCCTGACGTATTTGTTCTTCATTTGATTTTTGCATAGATTTTACTTGTTAAAATATTCCTTACAAAGGTTTTATAATTCAAACCTTGGCATGATTTGACCTCTGAATGAATCATCACTTGGTATTTCATTTCTGAGTTAGCAATCTATTATGTTCTGATTGTGACAATTAAAAAAAAATTGGCTGGTAGATAAAAATGGCTGCTGCTCACACCAAAGTTTTCATGTTTCCCATTATTCAAGAAATAATAAAAAATGTTTCTCATATATTCCAACATATTTCTTGCTCACTGCCTCATAAACGTTTGTGGCCTTCTATGACAATTAGTTCCTCTATAAACAATTAATCATTGGAAATTTTACCCCAATAAAGTGAATCCTTGAAGTAGTGATGCTAATATCCTACTTGTACCTCGTCATATCCTCAATTCCCTGATATGACAGGTGCATGAAAAGAAAGTCAAAAGTTACGGAGTGTAAACAGGCTTAGAAACAACAAAACTCCGGCTGATAGGTCATGGTGAAAAGGAATATAGTACCAAATATTTCGTCTGCTATGGCAGTAGACATCTTCAGTTGTATAGCCATGAAATGTGAGGGATTCTCGAAGTCTCAGCAAAGACAGTCCATTTTGTTCTTTCTAAAGGAAACACTGACCATGGAATCCTATTTTACTATATATTAATTGACAGAAACTATCATAATGAAAAAATGTAAATTTGAATAGTTACCTGCTGAAACCCTTTATCAACTTGAAGATAGAATTCATTTAGATCTCCCTCGTATTCAACATGTGGTATATCTTCAGCTAGAGCAACTGCTTTTACATAGTAAAAGATCCCCATGAAGGCCTTCGAATACAAAGATGTCAAAACCAGAAGAATATTTAAGAAATTATCTTACCAGTTGAACAATTCCCCATGCACTAATTATCAACCCGCATAGGGAACATTTTGGACCGCAAATTGGCATTTTCCAAAAATTGTCTTATAACTAGTACAACACCCTAGAATAGAATGTCATGTGACAGTTCAGTTGATGACATTTGTCACGGGTTATTTGTTATTTGGGGTGTTTTCGTTTTTCTATAGTTGGTTGAATCCTATTCAGGTCGTGACGTCATGAATAATACTATTCACCAGAATGGTATAACGTTTTCGCTTGGAAAAGGAGGGGCATATTATACATCCATTGAAAACACGTTTTACCTGAACAAAAATACCATCTCCCGAGGCTAACTAAGCATCACAGAAGATGACTTGAAATAAAATAAAACATTTTTGGAAAAGGTTTCGGCTTTCTACTTCTTTATCTTATAAAAGAAAATGTGGGAATCTTCCAGAGGGAAGAAGCAATCAAATTCAAAAATTCACTCATTACACAGAAGTGTATATTATTCAAAGAAGTAATTTTCAGACAAAAACTGGAAGAAAAAAGCCGTCTTTAATCAGCTATTTTCATATATAAACATTAAATTACATGAAAGAAAAATACTTTCGAAACAAATACTTTTATAAGGACACTGAATTATTCGAAAAACACTTTTCTCTATCCCGTTTGTATAACAAACGAATATTTGGGATACAAACGGAATAGAGATACTATTTTCGTTCTGGTGAGGAAACATTCTTTTCAATATATGTATTTTACGCCAAAGGATCCAACAGATCATATAGGATAAGGATTTCATTTAGAGCACTTGCATTTGTTCAAAGTTGGCTACTCTGTGTCAGTTTTCATACTAAATGGAAAATGAAATGAAGTCTGTTGGTATACTAATCTGTCTATTAATTCACAGTTACTTTTAAATTACGGCATGCAAGCCAATGTTTTAATGTTACAACGTTGTTATCCTTTACAGTTGCAAATTTTAGTTTTGCTCCAGGTACATCTTCTTCTGTTAAAAACATTCTTTTTTAATTGTACTTTACCATATGGATTAGGCAGTGTTTGTCCTTACCGAACTACTAGCGCTACTAGTGAGTGATTTTTCGTACTTCAGTAAAAACGTTGTGCTGGTTGGTTCGGAATTTTTAAAGATTTTGATCTCCATGTTTGTGATGTAATTAAAGGCAGAAAACGTTAAATTTGAATGAACGTGGTTGTTGTTTGATCCATTTATTTCCAATTTGGTTCATTTATAATCCTGTTGATTTTTGAAAGTGAAAGCTAAAAGTAATTGAAAAACCTTAAAACTTTTTTATTTATTTATTCGATCATAAGTTGCCTAGAAACATCGCAGGTTGCAAAAAAATCTTAGTAATATATTTGTCGATGAACATACAATGATTATTTTCACACAAGAGATTCACGTGATGGCATTTACGTCACTAGCCTGTGGCCCAGACATTTTGTGATTCGCAGATGGAATGTATGTAAAAGTGACGTCACGCGCAGTCCATATTTTTATGGGTCTTTCGAACATAGAAAGTAGAAACGTCGAAACCATGAAACTGCAGCATAGGTGCCAAAAACCAAAAACTTTTCATAACATAAGGTATAGAGTTTATAGGTTATGAGAATAATTGTAACTAAAATAATAAAATATCTGGTTGAGAAATGGTTTTATTAGAAAATGACTCGGTATGTTATAGCTCTAGAAATTTTAAAGTGTGATTTTTATTCAATACTTTTTTCAGTTTCTAACAGAACTAAGAAAACTGTTTCAAAAAGCTCGATTAGATGGATCAGTTACCATGACATTTAAACGTTGTAAGTACCCAAGTTCCTATGTTCAATTCCTGATATTTAAGCAACCAATCAGCTCAGAACATTTAGTAATATCTGAAAGATTGATTTGTAGCTATTTTGGTTTTTCAATATACATTTCATCCTTTTTTTGTTCTGAATTTCAGATGATGGGAGAAATCGACCAATTCCAAGACCAGATAGACCTCCACTTCCAGATCTTCGTGAGCATATGTGCTTAGTAAGAGCTAAGTTTCGGTCTGAAAAAATAGCCACAGTTATACATCAGAAAGACGTGAATAAGTTTCAAGTAGCTTATAGCAGTCTACTTAAAGGAAGCTTAGATGGATTGAAAAAACTTAAGAAGCCCAAAAATAAAACAAAAGCAGAGTAGAATATTGAAAAATAAATCTTTTTTACTTGGGAAAATGTTGATTTAAGGGTTATTTACTGTCCTTACATTTTTTATACATTCCAAAACAAACTATACTTGTGGTCTTTTTTAATTGAGGTGTGTATCTAATACTACAATTACCTAAAGTGGAGATGTTTTTTAAGTTAGACCTATCATTAATGGTGAAATTTATGCAAGATTTATTGATTGGGTAACAAAAGGAAAAATGTTTCTTTCATACACCACGTCATAGCACTTGACCAAAAAAACTTTCACGATTTTTTTAATTCTACACATGATGTATATAATTAGTGAAATGTTGAAGTACAGCAAATGCTAATTCAAAAAGTAGTGATCAAAAAATAAAGTCAAAAACTTAATATTTGTGGGGCAACTATTCATTGAAATCAGACACGAAAAAACGAGTTTATTTGTTTGTTGCATCTACAGTCCACCCAGTTTGAACAATAAGTGTACATGAATCATTGCCAAGAAGTCAAATGTCTCTTACACAATTATCCTCAGCATAAGGTTGTTATTTTCGGGGATTACCATTTACCCGAGGCATCATGGTTGAAACAAAGTTTATGAGTAATTGTTAATTGTCCAGAAAATTCTAAAGCAGTGTATATGTGTGATTCTTTTTGTTACTTATATTTTTTTGAGTTAATGAAATTCCAAATAGTCGTAGCATAATTCTAAAATTTTCGTTTGTCTTTTCACAAATCAACTCTGCTAGCATTGTTTGAATGTTTTAAATAATAACAGCTTGACTTTTCTAAAATCAAGAGTTTAATAATATATCAGAAAGACATTTTGAATACATTTAAGGGGCGGTGTCAAGTTTTTTCAGTTTACACCGATTTCTCGAAAGCATTCGACAGAGTTAACCATAAAATATTACTCATTTCATAAACTACACCACACGATTTGATCTCCACAAACTTTATGTAGATCAAATCGTGAGGTGTCGTTTATGACATTACTATAGATCTTCATCAAGTAACGGCCGAATCAATCAGAGGAATATTAGTCAATTACCTTGAATATTTTGGTTTTAGTGGTACCATACTATTGTGAATTGAATACTTTCTGAAGGATACAGTTCAGTTGGTAAAAATTAATAATTTCATTTCTCAAACAATTGATCAATTATATACTGCATGATCAAAAGAAAACTCTTTATCATTTATCTAATTGGGGCAATATACTGATGTTGGCGTGTAGCAAAATGCGTCTTGAATAAAATTTAGTGAATCATTATCTCAAATAATTTGGAAAAAGCTGTCATCAAACTAATCGGCTGGTAACTTATATCATTGTGTTCCCATTTTTTTTATATAATAAGTTCAGCTAACTTCATTTGACGTATAGTTATTGGGCATACTTGAAGACTGGCTATAAATCAAATTATCTAAATGTACAATTCGTTCAGGCCAGTCTTCCCTTTCCTAAACAGCAGGTTCATGGACTGATACCTATCAAAAAACAACTACCCCTCTGGCTATTACCACTGCACTGACACCTGTTGGATATAATCTAAACCCCTTCATAGTATTAGCCAGGGGAGTAGTTGTTTTCTGATAGTTGTCATTCCATGAACCTACTGTAGGCAAAGGAAGACTGGCCTGAACAAGTTGTTCATTTAGATAATTCCCTTACCTACACGGTAGGTTCATGGCCTGGCTCCCATCAGAAAACAACTACTGGACGTCGGTTTGCGAAATTTTGTTCCAAAGATTTGAGCCTCGAAGTGGTCTACAGGACGAGGATATGATGATCCTGTTGAAGACTGACCCATCACGAACTGTGTCTGGTATCGCGGAAGAATTGGGCGTCAGCTCCAATGCGTTTTGATGATTTAAAGAAACGAATATTTTTAAACATTTGTTTAGCATATTTGATATGACCCTTACAATAACATTTCTTAATCAATTTCGCACTCTAATAGAATTCAGTTGAACAGCATGAAAGTATTGTTTCAAAAATTCAAACAATTGACTTTCAATAATATCGAATCCCAGAAAGAGGAAATAATCAGAAATGAAATAAAATCAAACCAGTAAAATTTTTCATTTGAAAATATCATTTATCCAAGGAAAAACTCAAGTAGTCATTTCGGACGAGGTGCTCAATATAAAGTTTCGATAAATAAATCAATGTTATTATTTGATATACCTAGTTATGTAGATTCGTAAAAAAATAACTCAACTCTAACTTCCGATCTCATTTCACTGAATCAGGACACAAATTGTCATCTATTGAAAACACTTTCCCAACACCAGAACAAAAATTACGAACTATCAAGTTAAACAAATTGTAATATCTTTTGAGAATCGGCCACAAATCTCTTGTAAGAATTTATTAGAAAGTGAAGCGAGCATAATATGTAACATCCGAAATTGAAAATTGTTTGTGCGGAGATGGTTGTGATATTCTTCCTTGGGTTGTGAGTTGTGATGAACATAGAACGAGAAAATTGTCTAAAGTCTACCATAGAGGCATGAATCATAGACTACCACAGGGTTACTATATAGTGGGGGTCTGCGAAATGTCATAATTTTCGATTATTCGATTAACATTTGTGGCTGTATATGGCGGGCACTGCCATGTCTCATCTAGATAGTACTAAAAAAGTATATGCCGGGGATCATTTTCATGAAATCAAAGGAAGTGTATATTTTTGATACTGTTTCATATACTACTTTGCTTAGCGTTCCGTAAATGGAATCTATTTCAATTCAATAACGAATATCTGTTGTAGGAACCATAGAAATTATAATGTAGGTATATATTGTACATATCTATGGTAGGAACCAACCAGAAAAAGGTGATATTCTTGTAAAACATTACAAACTATTATTAGAAAAATTCATAAGCCACCCATAAACTAAACTCACAAAGTAATTTTTTTACTCAGTTTAGGTAACGTCAAAATTGCTGTTACTGTCATTGGTACCAATCTTGTTTGCAATCACACCCTTCCCTTTTTTTTCAGATACCGCTCTGTCTAAAGTCGTCTGCCGCACATGTAATGAATTATTCGAAACAATTATGATGAATTATTATTTTTTTAATTCTTTCAGAGGGTGTCCTATATATTAACATTAATTTAAATAGAGACATATCTGATTTTATTGACGGTCATTTGATAAACACAGTGTCTGTTCAGAGAACTGAATTGATTTCCAGGTGGCAAGATGCTGCGTTGCCAGATGGAAAGAAATTTCTTCAGATTTGAAAAATTTCATTATAACTTTCGACTTGCTGTTTATTTAAGAGAAATGGTCACCAGAATTATTGACAATTCTGGATAGAACTTACATCTGACCCTTTCCATTCACTTTATGTATGAAATTCCTGGCAAAATAATCTCTGAAGATGAAGAACCAAAATCTTAAAAGTATGAAATCTACAAAACTATCGGTACTTTTGCTTCATGTAGGGGGTCATTTGGCCATTCCTAAACTAACTGACTATCATTGACTATCAGTTCTGGGATAAAATCCAATACAAGTTCAACAAAAAAGAAAGAAACAAATCCAAAGTTTTTACTTTTCATAGTCCAATGGTGGGTTTATGCAACACACTGCCTAAATTAAAACTAAGAACTTACACTTCGACCAATACAAATCAACGAGAGCGTTTATGTAAATTTGACGAGACTAAAAAGTAAGAACTATATGCCTAGAAAATTGGCTTACATATGACTAAGTGCTCAGGTCAAAATGAAAACGAGCATGAGCCAAATCGAAATATTTACAGCTGTCATTTGACCAGAACAATTTCAAAACGCATATTTCAAATTTATTATTTCAACAATAAAAAAAGTGAATGAAAGAATGTTGAACATTTTTTCTGTTCATATGGAATCATTTTCGGTAGTATAGTAAAATAACAAATGAAGAATATTTATGGTTTTGTTAACATGTGCGTAAACTGGACATTTTTTTTGAATATAGTATATTAGTTACTAGTTTTATTGAGTTCAGTTCTTGTTGTTGCATAAACCCACTATACATTTCAAAATCCTAATATAAATATTGAACTAATTAATTTCAAATTGAGAAAAACGAAATAAGTGATGAATTTATAAAAAATACCATCATCAAGAGAACACAAAATATGAAAGAGAAATTCGAACCATTCTTCATATGGTCATATCCACCGCAAGCAGGACTGACATCATCTTAATTATAATGTCTTCTATAGTTCGTTACTTTTTTATAAACAAATATCTGATGTTGTTTCTTGTCTAAAAAAAATAGTGGTGGTAAAACAAAACATTTTGGCTTATATATCATTAAAAAAAATATAAGAATATTCAGTTGCTCTTCTAAGAAAATATGCAGGCCAAAACCTGTATCGCAACTTTAATAATAGTAATATCATTTATTAATATACAGCAAATACAATTTTATGCATAAATGATACCTACTTGATAAGTGAGCAAACACTTGTTTCGTAATAAAATTACCTTACTCAACTACATGAAAGAAAAATATATTCAATCCAATACAGGAACATTACGATTTTTTCTATTTTCGAAAGCAATCTGTAACAATAATCAATATGGTTTTTAATAGACTAAACCACTTCTATAAAGTGGTATAGAACTATACGGTGACTAAACGATGCAGAGTTTTTATGAGGAAAGTAAACAAACTTGTTGACTATAGTCCTCTGCGCTCGAATCTATTTTTAAGTAGTTCATCTGTTCACGATGTATTTAAACATAATATTTCATCATTTAAAAGAGGGCTGTATCAAATGCTCCTGCTGAACATTACTGAAAACTAAATTGAGAGAATTGATATAAAATTTCATTTTTGCTTTTTTCACTGTACACTTTTTGAACCTTGATAAATTCTGGAGTTATCAATATATCTCGTTTTATGACATTAATATTTCATACGGTGGATTTAGTCTACATAAAAATGAATTGGATTTAAAGTATGAGTATTTGATAGCGTTTTCAACCTGTAATAGAGTTTAAACCGATATGATGAATATGAAATAATATTGGTATAAGGTATTGTTTCATGACTATGTGGAATTCTTGCAGTCTGCAAAATCCTCTCGAAGTGATTTTGTACAAACAGATTTAACTCAAATAAATTAATATTCCCTACAGAACTTTTCATCTTTTTCACCAAGTATTTATGTTAGTTAACCCGATAACAGCGATAGGATAATCAAGAACTCTCCTCTTTTTTGTCATAATGACTTAATTTCATTATTAATCCAGTTATTGGTTTCATTATTATTGGAATATCTTTTATGTTTTGTAAAATTAATTTCGAAGTTATGAGAGTGAGTCAACGAAAAATTACGAAAAGCAATATTCATATCAAATGAATCTACCCAGTCTTCACCATCTAGAGCAGCGATACTCAACCTGTGTCCCGCGGGCCGCCAGCCTTTTCTATGCGGCCCTCTAGCGGCTCTAGCCTTTTCTGCAGCCTGAAGGCTAATACAATATTTTTAGATTATTTGGCGGTTTTTAAAGAAAACAGAGAGGTAAACAAATATGAAGAATTCTGGAAATTAGTACCGGATAACTACAAAACACTCAAAAATTGCGTACACTTGCTCCTCACTGTGTTTGCGTCAACTAACCTGTGCGAATCCTCATATTCAATAATGAAATATGCGAAAAATGTTTATAGATCCCGACTGAGTGATTCGCACCTGGACGACGTTTTGAAAGTAGCATGTAGTAATTATGTTCCAGATTTATCAGAAATTGTAAATAGTTTGCGTCAATGTCAATCATCACATTAATTTTTAAATAAATGGTTTATTTTTACAGTTGCGTTTTATTGTATTTTACATACAATGTCTAACTCTAATAACGCAAAACCTGAAAGTAGTTTGTGCAGTTCAGTTTTATAATTGCGGCCCGCAAGGTCTATCAGTAGTGACTATGTGGCCCAATAAGGGGAAAAAGATTGAATACCGCTGATCTAGAGCATTAACATAAAAAGTGATCGCTTTGTAATTGAAACATTGTTTCAGTTTCCACAAGTATAATGCATTATAGTTGTGTCCTGGTGTTTAAATTCATTCGCCATTGTTTTGTCAAAATCTCTCGACGCGAGAAATGGGATTCACACAACTTCGTACACGTACACGTTTCAAAATGACAAGTTGACTAATTTTCGTTGTGCTAATTTCGAAGTGTAGCATCTATCTTTCNAGGAGCCCTAGGCCAATAAATCTGACTTAAACAAGATAACGAATACGTTTCAAAATGTTACCATTGGTATGAGCTTAGCGCCTCTGTGAATGAAATGCCAAAGCACTGTGGAAATTGTTTCAAATGCCATTTCGTAACTTAATTCCATAAAAACTCAAACACGTTGGGGCCATCTGGCCTAGTTCTGACAAGAAAATTCAAACTGAGCTCAAAAAATCTAAATATTTTTCATCAAATTGTCTATAAAAAATAGCCAAGAGAATTAAAAAATGTATAATCTGGCAACACTGTACCACAACCAAGGTCAATTGAAAACTGTGTACGTGTTTGTATTTAAAAAGCTAATTCATCTAAAAATTGAGATATATATTGTCCAAGCTGTTACACTGAGATTGAGGAAATGTCGAGCCCAAAACAGGAGTCTGAGTTGAAAGCGGGCCACCCACCAGCAGGTAATAATTCAGTGTTTTCGTCTCTATAGATATCAAGTTGTTTTGACGGATTCCAGTATTTTTAGACAACAGTGAAATTGAAACAGCACACTATGTATACATGTTTTTTATCCTTTTTTTTCAGTAAAAGCTGGAGGCATGAGGATAACCCAGCACAAAACTAGAAAGGATTCTGGAGGAATATCGGAGGACGTTACTGGTATAACTATGACGGGCAGTCCACCAAAAACAACTTCTATATCAGGAGCAATTCCTAAGGGCCATGCAGATTTTCCAGCAGAGGCTGTTCAGAGTTTTCACAAAGAAAAGCCCCCAGCTGTACATCCAAGTAAACCATTGGTTAATATTCAACAGCCTAGGAAGTAGTTTGTATTTTATATACATACTGGAGTTTTGCATTTTCATTTTATTTTAAAAATATGGGCCAAATTTATATGATGAAAACAAATTTTAAATTAATTGATATTACTAACTGGTAAACAGGTAGTCATAAGAAAATGTACAAACCAGGTAAAAATTATTGTTACTAATGATAATGTAGAAACCAAAATTATTTTGAATTCAATAGCATCATAAACAACAAAGAAGACCGCATAATTGGTAATTGCCATACTAGCCAAAATTTTCATAGACATTTTTGAGTAAATTATTCAACAACACCCAAATTAAAAAAAAAACATTTATTGGTACAGATATGTAGACGACGTTTTAGGCTGTTGTAAAGATAAACATCTGCAATTGCAGTCACTTCTCCAATACATCAATTCCATTCACCAAAACATAAAATTTACACTAGATCTTGAAACAAATAATTCGATGTTGTGGAATTGGCCGCGGTGGTAGTGCGCCCGGCTCACGATCGCAAGGCCGTGGGTTCGATTCCCGCCTCGACCAGATATTTTTCTCGAGACAATTTATCTGGTTGAAGCTGGGATGATTCTGCAACCGTGTTAGGAATCACACGTTAAAAGGTAAGACCTCGTTAGTCCTTAGCTCGCACAAGTTTCTCAACTTCTGAGAGTTGTCGTTCGTATGGGGGCTTAAGCTGATTAACGGAAAAACAGATTTTAAACAGATGTACTGGCAGCTTACACCACAACATTTTCCACAGACTCACTAGTATATCTGTCAGCGGAAAATTTTATATAATCGCTCTCTTCAATGCGTCATCTATAGTTCAATAGAGAAACAAGTAAATGAAAATTACCATTTATACAGAAACTATTCATATTCACCTATGATGTGGACATTGTCTAAGGATTTTCTTGATAGATGTCAGGTATAACATTCAGTGTAGAGTTCTTTCGTAAGATACTCATTCTTGCTCCTCAACCCTCAATATCGTCAGTTTTCTCAACTACTTGGCGTTCGATGGGAGGAGCCGAGGACGATGAAATCGTAAAGGAAAATCGAGGCCAGCCTCCAGTCGAATTTGCTAGCTGTCAATTGAGCTAAGTGTTTTGAACCTGTTTTTATCGGTCCGACATTCCTATGTAGTTTGTAAAGTGATTAGTGCCGTGGTGGCGTGCTTAAAACCGCTTCCTCGAAGGTGAGGTGAGAGAAAGAGTGCATTGGTGCCATGTTCACGGGAACTCTGCGCGTGAAAATATGTGAGGCCCAGGGCCTTAGGCCGACGGATTTCTCTAAGCGCCACACTTTCGGGAAGGCCGACGAGCAACTCCTAGATCCGTACGTGACCATCGACGTGGACGACACCCATGTGGCCCGCTCTACCAGTAAGCAGAAGACTTTTGATCCTCTGTGGAACGAATTTTTCGAACACCAGGTGGAGAATGCCAAGACGCTGACCCTGACAGTTTTCCACGATGCTGCTATTCCGCCCGATGTTTTTGTTGCTAATGTTTGCATTCCCTTCGAGGATCTCCTCAGCAGGGAAAAGGATGCATCTGATTTTTGGGTGAGTCCTTCAAGACATCTGAATTCAGATTTCAGTGATCAGATTGTCCCGTACAGGGTTGTCAGATTTAGAGATTATTTTGTTGCTTCTTATATGTTTATGATCCACTGAAAAAAAAAGAGAAGTGAATATTAGCATTTCATCTATTAGCTTTGTTTCTAGAAATTTAAATTTATAAATTGGAACTAAATTAGCACGAATGTCAGTTTTAGGGATTTTATCTTTGATTCCTATATTGATGAAAGTCACTATTTAGGTCAGAGGGTTAGATTTGATCATTGTGAGAGGTAATTAGCAGATGTTTATCCTAGACTCCTAGAGTTTATGCTATGGATATGTTAGAATAGACAATGAGTAATCATTTAGACCTTTCAAAAAAAAAACAAAATTGGAACTCATGAGAAATCTCCCTCTGCAATTTTCAATTGAAATAAAAAGAAATGTTTTCAAATATTTATCATTACAAATGTGAATGATCCCTTTCAGGCTATCACAAAGTCTTTGGTTGTGGATGTCATTTTTTTTTTCAGGTCATAATTTTATACTAATTTACTTTTCATTTAATGCAGAGCTTAGAGTTGGTAGCAGAGCAAAATCAAAGTAAAACATTTTATACAATCAGACTACTCCATGATTTTGAGCATATTTTAGGATCATATTTACCCTTGCCAGCAATATTTCTTTTTTTTTTTATAAATCAGTGGGTTCTGCAAATTCTATAATTAAATTGGTAGAACCAAATAGAAATTATCTTCCTTCAAAATTGTAAATCAATTTTAGGCTCATTTTAGGTTTCTGCATTACACCATTGAATAATTTTCTGCTTCTTGTTGGAATTGAATATTTGGGTTATTACCATCACAAACGGTAGAAGTCAAAGTTAAATCAGAAATAACTGTTTATTCGTTTTTAATTATAAAATAATTGTCTAGAATTTGTTGTGAACTTGATGTCAAGTTAGCACAGCCACCCTAGGAAAATTCCTAATGAAACTCAAATGCATTTTTTCTATCAGATCTACATTGTGTTGTAAGAATATTTTGCACCATGTGGCAACACTGTCATACATATATTTAATATATTAACTTTTTGAAAAATCATGAAGGAAAAAAACCAAAACAGATTTGTATCTCCTTTAAAAAATCGATATTATAAAAAAAGAAATATGGCTTTCTCCCAGTTAGTAAATGCCGTCATATATTTTTTCAATTTGGAGGTTCTGCTAATTTGTTATGAAATTAGCACAACCACCCCAGTAAAAGTCTCAATAGAACACAAATGTTAACATTTTTGTTATCAATAATTGTTGAGTGACTATTGCAACTCACCCGATATCAGAAATTCAAGACTTTTATTGCATGAAATTAGTTTCCGCAATTATAATGGCAATAATCAGGTTTGCCAAAAAACATTGTTAATAAGTGAAAAATTCACAGACAGATGCAATTCCAGTTGATTTGAGACAAAGAAAACTCTTTTTTTATTCCATAAATTCTAAGCAGTAGATATGAATAAGTAACTAAATAAGGAATTTTTTCAACAACCTGAACTGGGGCGTAGCCACAATTTCAACTTTATTGTGGAGTGTCTGAAATGCAACTTGGTTATCACTGACAATGAATTTTGTTTATATGATGGATGTCACATGAAAATACACAACACCTGTGACCGATTTGAAAACAGAAACATTCTTATTAATACAAATGGTCTTGGCGATGAAGTTGCAGCATTAAGTTTACTTTAAATACAAGGTTGTATCTAAGGCCAGTAAAATTATCCTCTGGGAGAGTTATCACACTTTTTAGTAATTGAATAATATAGGATGTTTCATTCTTATGTACAACACAGGTGATAGATTTAAATTTATTTTTACATATCTTAATTGAGTTCACATTTTTACGTTTTTGGCATTTCTTCAAGCATTTTCGAAAAGTTTTGTATTGAGAATGAAGAAAATTAATATTTTTATTTTCAATATTTTGTAGGTCATACATAAGGTTCCAAAATAATAATAATAAAAAATGTATTGACATGTTTCATGCATTTCTGATATTCTGCCAATTACTTATAAATAATGATTTTATTCTATTGTCACATATTTTGTTGGTCATAAATTGCCTGTTGAAATGATATTAATGGCCATAAATCACATGTTTATTATTATTTTCTTTCTGGTACCATTATTTTGTTATTGAGAACATTTCTTAGGAGTATGATGAATATTTCTTTCTTTTGAATAATTGTTGCAGCATATTTAGTATGTCATTAACTACTTCTTGAAATAATAATAAAAACCAAAAATCTAAGGATCATTGTATTTGCGTTTCTGTTTTATTGACTCCTTTTCTGAAATCTTTTATGGTGAGAACTGATCCTTTTTTCCCATTACAGATTGTCACATATTTTGTAGATCTAAATTTTTTTGCTGAAATAATGATAATAATAATCATTAATCTAAGGATGATCATTTTTGTGTTTCTTTTACTATTATTGTGATTTTCAAAAAGTTTGTAATGGTAATATGAATAAAAATCTCTGTTCTCAAATACCGATTATCCCATATTTTCTAGGTCGTAAACCACTTGTCAAAATGTTAATAATAAAAACCGAAAATTCAATACCTAATCATTTTATTTGCTTTTTTGCCATTTTTCTACTACGTTTCTGAAAACTTCAATGATAGAAATTGTGGAAACTGATCTTGTTTTTCGATTATAGTTTGTTCCATATTTTGAAGGTCACAAATTGTTTACCGATTTAATGATGATAATAACTATAAATCTAAAGATCATTACTTTTTTTTTCTTCTGCCAATATCGCCTTTTCAAAAATGTTTCTAATGAATGTGATTAACAAATAATCTCCGTCTTTTGAATGCCTAGTATCCCATATTTTGTAGGTCAAAAGCTACTTGTAAATGGTGAAATGTCATCCTCTTTCTTCGATTATAGGTTGTCCCATATTTCGTAGGAATGTCTGTGGAATGGAGTGCGCCAAGCTACCATTGGTCATCAAAATTCATGGCGAGTCATGAAAATTTGTCTTGAAAAACATTCATTTCATAGTTAGCCATGAAAATTTTGTATTTGTGGACATTCGTTGACAGCTACGAAATAAGTAAAGAAAAATCGAACATCACCTAGAGCCATGATATATATAATACAAGTTAAATAAAGTAATTATACAATAATACCTAGAGTTGTAGAAATTCTTGGGTAGAATAAAATGCATTTTTGGTAAGGTAGTCAAATAAAGCACTTTGGAATTCAGTGTTTCCAAATAGCTGAAGTGCTCTATTATAGCAGATGATACCCTGCATCTTTTTCATATGTCTACTTAACTGCTAACATGTATATAGACATTGTAACTATAGATAAGCACAGTTGCTTTATGTTCTTTTCTGACTAGTCTGATGAAGTTTTATATCTGTATCTACTCCATGTATGAAATTTTGAGTGATGAATAAATTTCTGTTCTATTATATTCATATGTGGGCCAACCTAATTTGAAGATTTGCAATTTCCCAAAAAATGAAAGTGTAAATATAGCGTAAATATAAACCACTAAATTAATTGAGCATGCATATTAAAAATAAAAAAGACAAGAGTTTGGTGTAAGATGTTTTGCAAGGGTCAAACTGGAGGAACATTTAAAGCAGGTATAAAAGAATATAGAAAAAAGTCTCCAGAATGGAAAAATAAATTCAGCTCCTCACAGAGGGCATGAGCGCCACTCAAATTCGTGGCCAGCCATGACTGCATGCAATTATGAATTAAAATATACTGCAGAAGGTTCTGTGAGAAATAAAAATTATTGCAATATTCTTGTTCGCCACCATTGAACTGTTTGGAATTTTTTATGACCATTATTTACAGTAACTAAAAAAAATTAGTACCTCCTTCAAAGTATTTATGTTAATTTGCTTTCTTTCTTCTTCTAGGTATTGATTTTTTAAAAGAACTGTCAGTAAATAATGATCATAAATAAATATAGTTTAAAACACTAAAAAACACTTTTTCAAAGAACATCGAACTAAAAAGTTGAAATATTTTTTTAAATAAGCCTAAAACAAACAAAAAATACCAGTATTATTGTGAAAAAAGCGACGGGCGGTTGATATACAAAAAATATGACACAAAGCGCCCACGCTTTTTTTACAATAATACTAGTATTTTTCGTTCGTTATTGTTTTAAGCTTATTAAAAAATGTTTTTTCAACTTTTTAGTTAGATGTTCTTTGAAAGAGTGTTTTTTAGTTTTTTAAAACTATATTTATTTTTCATTTTTTTGGTTTCGTATGCTATAAAAGCTTATTTTTTAGTCTTTTTAAACTATTATTTATTTTATCTAAACTTTGGGATCAATCAGCCGTATACAGGGTGTAACTAAATAAGTGTAAAACATTCATGGAGGTGATTCCTCATCGAAAAAAAGATAGGATCTTTCATAT